CCCATTTGCATAGTCAACACACGTTCCATTCAAGTATCTTCCTGACTCTACTCTCTTTCGTTCATCTGCAGCATGTTTTGCCTTGATATGGGTAGATAAGGAATTTGGATGGAAATCTCTGCCACAATCAGCAAAATGGACACTTGACTCTGGTTGGTTGTTGTCGCATCGATCTTGACTGAGCAGACCTGTATCTAAACTCTTGGAATGACTGAACTGTAGTGGTAAAGTTTGTTTCCTGTTGTTGTTCTTGTAACTGTGTCTGTTGTTCTACTAGTTCATGTTGTTCTTGTTCCCCAGGCTGTGTGGCATGCAGTTGATGACTTGGTTCTTGTAATTGTTGCTGTTGCTGCTGTTGTTCCTGTTGCTGCTGTTGTTGTTGTTGCTGTTGTTGTTGTTGTTGCTGTTGTTGTTGTTGTTGTTGTTGTTGTTGTTGTTGTTGTTGTTGTTGTTGTTGCTGTTGTTGTTGTGGTAGTGGTTGTTGCTGTTGTTGTTGTTGCTGTTGTGGTTGTTGCTGCAACTGCTGTGGTGGTTGTTGCTGTTGCTGTTGTTGCTGCTGCTGCTGCTGTTGTTGCTGCTGTTGTTGTTGTTGTTGTTGTTGTTGTTGTTGTTGTTGTTGTTGTTGTTGTTGTTGTTGTTGTTGTTGTTGTTGTTGTTGTTGTTGTTGTTGTGGTTGCTGTTGGTAATGTTGTTGGTAATTTTCCTGCATTTGTTGTTGTAATTGTTGACGCCATAACTGTAGTTGTGGTGTCAGTAGCTGAAGGTTATGTGTGGCACGAATGTGCCGGATTGCCTCATTCCTACGCTTGAACCCATGTTCACATCCAAAACAGTGATAATGTGTTATGTCTTGTAGGTTTTTCTCATCTGATTCACGCCGGCTTGACGGGAATATGCACGATAGTTTGCATCTTAGTATGGTGAAACCTTAAATGACATGATTGTATAACTTACAAATGAATATAAATTAAGAATGCATGCAGTACTGTACTGCACTGTACTGTACTGGTACTACAGTATAGTATACACATTTCAAAAATTCATTAATAATTCATGAGGAAAACACAAAGAGAAATCATAAGCGTGGCGTGTCTTTATATGTGATAAAACACGCTTCAAATTTCAACTTGTATTTTCTCAGCTAATACAAAGTTATTTTGGAAAATTATTTCGCCAATGCCGTGATCTAACTAAGACGTTTTTGAAGCTGTTTAATAAACTCGTAGTTCGTGTTTTATCACATATAAAACACTCCTCTACGCGTCGTGTTTTATATGTGATAAAACAATCCTACTCGTTTATTAAACAGTACATAACACACTAATCAATACCTTATACAGTACCATTGCAGCAAGGACTTATAGTGCTGTTGTAAATATTTGTTTTGTTTTCAATGACATTACATAGACATGCTTGGCCTGATTATCAGATGACTGGATAGGTATTACCAATTGTACAATTTTAGTTAGAAAACCAAACAACCAACACGTCAAGTATTTAGAATATCTCTACAAATTCCTCCAGCTGATAGAGTATTAAGAAAATCGAAATTTCATTAGACAACATACATACAGTATGTGTACCACAGTTCCAACCTCTCAGTTTAACCCATTGACTGACAGTACAGTACTCTAATTACCATTGGCCATTAAAATACACATTGTATGGCATTAGATAGAGTAAAATACTAATTAAAAGTAGGGCACGTCTGGCAACAGACATTGAGATGCTGGCAGACAGCTGGTGAGATACTAGGAGATAGTTTTGTTAACCCATTCACTGATATAGTAGTACCCTACTACTGAAAAGTAAATTTGTGGGGTAAAATAATGTGCAAATTATACCATCTTGACCAGTGCTTATTACCAGCATGCAGAAGGGTTAATGTATGTTTGTGTGTGTTAGCGCTGCCGAACCGAAAGATGGATATAGACAATTTCAGTAAATGCAACGTCTAGGTAGCTAGCCTGCTTCGCAAATTAATCCTTTTTATAGACATAAAATACAGTATAAATACAAAAGGCTGATTGAGATTCAATCAAACCGTGAATCAGGCAAATTAACAAGATCAATCAGACTGTTTTGGGATTTTAATGGCAAGGAACGTTTTTTCTATTGATATTATATATGGAACGCCATGTGTCCAAAAATTATTTAACGTTAATGATATAATATCATGACTAAAACTGTCATTGTATATAAATAATTGATAAACGAACAGACATTATATCAAATCATGACTTATTCGTTTTTGTCATTATTTGATATAATGTTATCAACATTAAGCATTATATCATATCATGAACTTCCGAAAAGTCGTGATACGATATCATGACATTTCGACAGAATCATTATATCATATCATGACATGTCGACAAAATCATTAATGATATCAAAGTACGGCGATCGATCAAATGGATCAATACTTTCTGTAGAAAAAACTCAGTGAGATTTGTTCGTATGAGACGTTTAATTAAAAGACACGGATATGTCGCCACAGACGCTCGATCATTGCACAGGTTTATGGAATAGTACTTTGTTCATTTTGTTGCGACTTATGCAAATTCAACTCTTGTATAATGACTAAAAGTTGGTTTGTAGAGGGACAACTTATACAAAAGATATGAATACATTAGCTTCAAACTAGGGACAAGTTCATGGACAATGGACATCCCTAATATATGGACATTGATATTTCACTAATATGTAAATATGACTATTAAATATATAAAAGGATTGCTGTTGTATTACTTGTATATGTATATGCACAAGTGTTGTGCTGTGGTATCTATGGACTAGAATCTCTGAGGGGGTTGAAAAAGCCGTTTCTGAGGGGTTGTGTGCATCAGCATCCTTTGATCTTTGCATTTTTTCTGAGGGATAAGGCAAAAATTTCTTAATTTCTGGAAGGGGGGGTCGGCACTTTGATCTTTTTTTTCTTAGGGGTTCAAATTTTATTGAACTCGTCCATAGGGGTGTATACATTAAATAATGGAATGGCCCAATGCACCCAGATGCACCCTACTTTGTTAGTTTACTCTGTCTTACGCCAGACAATTTTACTCGTCAGGTGGAGGGTGCATGGCACCACTCAATGGGTTAACATAGTCGATGAACATGCCAAATGATCCTTGACCGTGGTAGTACATTTTTGCACTTGCTGGATGATATTGCAACCAAGCATTGTTTCAGAGGAAGAGTACTGAGATCATGCTGTGTAGCAATTAGAATCTCACATAGAGCCTGCTCTCACATAAAGCAGGCAAGACCTTCACTCAGAAGCCAGTCCTGATTAATATTAATTCCCCACATAAACACTTGGAAACCAGACTGTCCCATCTGCCATATGCAGGACAAAAAAACATGCAGCCTGGTCTTTAACTGTTAAACAACCAAATCAGCATGATAAACAGTGTGATGATTTTTGTTTAGCCCAAACCAAAGCCAGGTTTCTAGAATTAATTTGCAGAATCCTAAGAATTGGACCTCCAACATGAAGAGCTAGCTGTGCTAACCAAGTTGCATGGGCAACCCTGAATTGACGTGACTAGAGCAAACCTTCAAAAAATAATAGAGAGATCAGATTTGACTTCCGCTACTGCTATTGCTATCATTAACTATTAACCAGATAAGTTTCATCTACCCAATCAAACAATCGGATGCAACTGCCAGATCAAGTAGTGGTAGTGGAAGTCAAATTTGAATCTTTCTATATGGATTTCAGAGAGACCAGTCTTTATTTGCTGATATATTATTATAATTTGTTTAATCAAAAGATACTATATATTAATTTATGATATTAAAAATTGATATAATTTTATCTATAAAGTGAGAATAATTTTAAAAAAATATTCATAACATAAAATGATTCATGCATGCTGGTGATTGAATAAACCATGAAGTGTGCATTCTGAATCTCTACAAATTCCTTGACATTATTTTTCCCGTACAGTGTAAAACTATATATATAAATGTGACACAGGTTGCAGGTATTAGGTTGCATGTCCACCAGTGTGCTGAAATACCATCCAGTGACCCGGTCTTGTTCATTGTTACTTGCATCTTGCTTAATTCAACTGTTTTTGCCCCATTTCTTGTACCCATAAAGTTCTTTTCAACAATCTAGAAAACTTCAAAATCATTCAGTAAATTTAATTTTAAAATTGGGTGAAAGGTAAGGGGTCAATAATAGATGAAGAAATCATTTCTTATTGTTCATACATATGGCCCCATCTCTGTCGGGTATTAGAGTAGAAATTTATTGAAGCCCGAAGTCAGAAAATAAATATGGCAACAAGGTTACACGCCATACTGCAGAGTTAGGCAATTTTTTTAAAGATCTCAAGGGCAGAAAAGGTATAAATATAGATTGTAGAGGCAAGGGAACAAAATAATGAAATTTTGAGATTCGGGGGCAGGTTTTACAATGGGGTGCTAAAACTTTTCCCTAAAAAATCCCTGACCAGCTGGAGTGCTGAAACTGATGTTTGACTATTGAAATATCCTAGCAGGTTAGGTTCATCAGATTTTGGCTTTGTCAACCTGGCCACTCTGTTATTACAGTAATGGCTCATTTAAATAATTTCAGGT